TCTCAAAATTACCGAACTGTAAACCCTTTACTACGTAACACGTAAAAGCCCATCACAGCTCTTCACCTCGGTTCACCTCGGACCGGGGCCATTGTTGATTCAATCTTACATGCTTTACGTTCAAATCATTCCAAATTCCTCACTTGATCATAAATTACATCGTTGTTAATAATCACATAACGACAATATATTAGTCACTTAGTGCCTCACTATTTAAAATTACAAAGAAGTAAAGGGTTATATTAGTAAAAGTTATATTAAAATACCTAAATTAGTTAAATAATATTTATGTAATACCGGAACCTAGATTATTAATTATTAATATATCAATATTATTTATCCAAACCTAATTACGAAGCATGATTCTTCGCCAAATAGGATTCCGAAGCACCAGAAGCAGGTAGGCTCAGCGCATTCTGGAATTATATATATAGGAGGATAGAGAGGATTACTCACATTAGTTATTTTATTCAATTTATTAACACCAATCAGCTTTAACACAATATGCTAATGTAATTCGCCGATCAAAACAACTAATACAATACGCTGGTCAAAACAGCTGATATGATCCGCTAACAGCAAGGATCATATTTTTTTTTTTTTTTTTTGGCGGATCAACATAAACTCATAATTATAAGTTGAAAGATATTGGTTATGAGTTAATTTGGGTGGTGTGTAACACTTGACCCGGCAATCGTACTTCCAAAAAAACCGATCCCTCCGTCGGCAAAGTTAATCTCTCTCTCTCCACTGACACTGTACACGCAGGCTTACACGCAGGCATCACCAAATGCACAAACACAAGCCTTAATTCCCCCATTTTCTGATAAAGGTTTGGGTTTATTGTTCACAATTATTGGCATCCGCTGTGCGATAAAGCTGCAATCTTTTTATTGATCTGATTTTGACGCCGTTGTTTGAATTTGTAGGTTTCTTTTTCTTCGACAAGGATATGAGCAGAGAGAAAGAGGGGCCGCCGGAACCCCTTGATTTCTTCATTTGGACTGTTGAGGTGATTCTATTTTCCACCCCCTTTTTCTTTCTTGTTCTGGTTTTGTACATTTGGGTTGATCGTAAATGTTGTTTTTTTTTTTTTTTTTTTT